TCAGACAATGGCACCAGATGAAAACACAGTTCCTCACCCTCTCACCCTCTCACCAGATGAAAAAACAGTTCCTTCACAAAACTTGGCACCCTAAGATGATAAAAACATTGCATGCTTTGCATGTTGACAAGACCAGAACTCAGTCAAGTTTTGGTCTAAACAACCTAAATAAACTGTTAATTCCTTGAACAAAGCAGCAAATAAATTGAGTGGCATTTAAGTACAATAATAATACTGTAAATACCATAGAATTAAGTACACTAATAATATGTTGGCTGATTTTTTGGTTCTGCAAGTCATGTTCAAAATCTTAGTCAACAAATTTACTAGTAGAAATATTAGTATTTATAGTAAAAGATGACTTGTAATTTCTAGTTTCTTATGTTTGGTGAACTAGCGAGTTATAGTGTCCTAGTTTTAAAAGAAAGTTTCTATTTTTTTTTTCAAAGTTTGAATACAAGTAGGAATTGAAGTTAGTCTTAGAATCAAAATACGACTTGGAAGTATGCATTTGGAAACTAGAACCTTAGAGTCCAAATAGGAGATGGAAGTTGCTACTTTGGGTCTATAAAAGGGTGTCAACAGGTCTTATAGAGAACAATCTATTCCATTCAATTGAATAGAATTCTATTTTTTTTCTGTTTCCACCATTGGTAACCAGATGAATTCACATTGACAACACTAGACATACATTCTAAATTTCTATTGTTGATTGATGGGATCATGGGAACAAGCTTAGATAGTATGTAAAAAGTACAGGTATTGGTATGTATTGCAGTGAAAGGATCATGTCATACAAAATGAAAATGATAGCTGAATGTTTTTTAAATATTATAGCAACAAACCACAAATTAACTAGCAGGGCATTTAAGGGAGGGTAGATGTACAGCATAGTAAAAAATCAAGCTATAAGAAACTACCTGTTTTTATATATTACAAAAAGAGAGCTATTTTTACATGTACTGATCGTTTCTTAGTTAAACCAGAAATAATCAAAATGAAGTACAAGCCCACAAGGATAATGTTACAATGAAAAAAGAAAGCTATCAACTCTGTACCCAGTAGGAGAAGATAGACCCACTCTCCCATCCACACGCACACAACCCCAGATAATATCAGAACAAAAAAAAGAACTATCGTCTGACTCCCGCCATATACAAAATTCATGATAGCAATTGCCAGTCTAGAAACTAAGAAGAATCTGGCGTTATTGGTAGCATCCATAGAATCCAAGGCTCTATCCCCCACCCCCTCCACCCCCAACTTAACAAGAATCTGCAATGGACCTGCAACCCCATTTCTCTACTAGCTGACAAATGTCTGATAGTTCCTTCCACTACTAAATTCTCATATGCCAAACTCTTTTGTATATATTAAAAAGAAATTGGTGCCTAAATGGTTTTTGCATCTTTAGATGATTATCTTGTTTATCTGAAACTACTCTTGAAAAATCAATGGAAAATTAGAAAGAGAAGCACACTTAAATAGAAGGTGCAAAAAGTACCTCTTTAACCTCTCTGTAGTGCACCAGAACAATGTGCTCTAACTGCCTGAAAACAAGAAAAAAGGGAATGAGTACCAAACCAAACAAATAAAAAGCTATGATGATAATATCATAATAGGAGAAGTGCACAGTGAAATGGACTAAGCAGAGCAGTACCATGGAGAGACAGAAAAAAGGAATACTCAAAATAGCCTTAATTGCACTTGGCATGACCAAGAGAATGGAGAGCAGTACCATCTGCTAACTCTGTAGCTAATAGCTTAGCTAAGAGTTAGGCTGGGAGGGCTAAATTGTTCTCACTGTCAAGTAAAAGAGACTATCATGGTAAAAGGGTTACAATTATTTCAAAAGAGAAAACAAAAGAAAAGAATGAAGAGAAAATGAAAGCATGCCTGCCTTGATATGCCTATCCTTTCAACCACATCTGCTGGTAGCTCTAGGAGTTTTTCCGCCTATTCCTCCATTTTTTGTAATGCTTATAAATTGAAAAGGGAATGGCGGGGCCACTGCTTGGTATGATGGGTAAATCTCGGACATAAAAGTATAAGAAGGCAGGTCAATCCTAAGAGCAACACTTCATGCTAAAATGCAGGAGATCAGGAAAGCAAGAATCCTCAAAGAGAAGGACAGCAATATTACGGACCCACTTGAGAGGAAAGGAATGCAAGAACCTTTAAAGACAATATCCAGAGCAAGGAAACTATAACTCTACGAACGTGGTGCATTGGGTAAATTCTATGAGCATTTTTGGCCCTTTCTCCATTAATGACATAGTCAGAAATTGGCAGTACTTTGCAATTTCTTCTTATCAAGCAATGGTCTTGTCCTGCCACAAACATCATAAAGTTAAATCTTGGTGGTTGCAGTTTGGGTAATCCTGGAAACTCTGGAATTGGTGTAGTTTTGGGAATAGTTGTGATACTTGGGCAAAGTATTTTCTAAACCCATAGGATATGGTGATTCAACAAGGGAACAACTATGGGTGGTTTTACATGGCTTCAGTTTAAAGACTAAATTATTTAAACTACAGAGACCTTGTGGTGGAAGGGGACACTTGAGTTATAATGGGCTGGTCCAAGAATAATAGAATTGGATCTTGGCAAGAATAGGCACACTATGAGGGAGGTGAGATACATTGTAAGGGAATTGAGAACAAGCTTTGCATATAAAAGTCACACAATAGTTTGGCAGATACTTTGGCATGACAAGGGGTGAATAGATATCAATTGTATTGCTGGGGGAGGGGGGCACCTAGAGAACCATAACAATAACAATAAACACCATAGGAGACCCAGCTTCTCCAATGTTAGCTAGCCTATGATGAGTTGGGTTTTCTCCTCCTGGAGGAGGTTCAGTGGACAGCTCCAGTTTATGTTAAAAATATTCTTATCTCCTGACTAAGGTTTAGAGGCACAACATTCATATAGGATAAGCAACATGTCCCACCTTTTCTTAGAAGCATCCATCAAATACAAATTCTCCTATTAGTCACCTTCCAGGAAAAAAAAGTGTGTTTTCTGAGGGCTATTATCCTACCATATCTAATATATTAAAGGAAAGCTCTCAGACTAGAGGGTTTCTGCTTCAAACAAGTGGCAACCTATCTTCTCAAGAAAGAGTATCCAGATAGTGGTTCAGTCCACTCTCAAATAGAAGCCTCTTTCTGACGCATGTCTACCCACTCTTAGAAAAAGTTAAGAGTAGTTAACTCCACTCTCAGAAAAAGTACTAACTTCAGATGCATGACTACCTATGAAAAAAACCCTACTTCAAAATATATGAGACTCATCAATCTATCTAATTCAACTTCCTAATCCAAATAAAAGACTCATTATAAAGACTTTCAGTGGTTCCGGTCCCATTCTTTTATATGAAATTGGTTGTCAATTACAAATTAAACCTGATTTAATTCTTTAAGTTAAATAAGGAACAGATATTAGATGTACCAGATAAATAGTGAACCTCAAACGATATGATAGGTGTAGTTGCCCCATACTTAGTATGGGGTAGTCATTACCTAGTAATAAGTAATAACTTAAAGAAGGGTGAGGGATGAAAATCATGTTGTACACAAAGACCCAAAGAAAGATTATGGGTGAACTTAGCATGTATTCAAAGACCCAAGCATGGTCCCTCCCATCATTCAAGATAAAACATTCATCATCACTTCTGACTTTGTCCATTCCAGTTTTCCACTGTTTCTGGCTCAGTTGTAATTCCGATTCTGTAATGGGGGCTGCATCTCGTGCCTCTGTTAGGTTGCTTTATTGTAATACTTTACTGTAACACTTTATCTTATTTTTAATAAAATTTCATTATTTATCAAAAAATGACAGCTGGATAAGGTGTCAGACACAGAATTTACATGTTTGACACAACACAATACCCATGTAAAGGCCTCAAGAGTCCAGATATCATAGATTCCAGAACCCCAACCATTATGATGAATACCATAGATGCTTTTCTAGCAATAACCCTCTTCCTAATGTGCCCTATCCCCTATGGCTACCCACCATCTTCTTTGCACATAGACCACTTTCAGTTTCACCTAAATAATCTTTATTAGTCTTTCTAGGGTCCTATAAGAAGTCCCTAATTGTATCCTCGCTACTATTTGTAATCATGAAAACAACCCTGAAGAATCACATATAGTACAATATTAAATTAATAAAAGTGGAACAGGTCAATGATCAAGAACATCATTGTCATCATTAGCAAGCAAAGACAACAACAATGATAAATGTGAAAGTATTGCCAAGAGAACTACTAAAGCATCAGTTTCCTTAGCTGAGAGCACAGTACCAACAGTAACAAGGTCTAGGTTTGTGTCTATATGGAAGTGAGTTGTACTAATTTGAATCAAGTTATTTGTACTCTAAAACCCTTAAACAAATATTTACTTCAATAATTTATTTATATTACTAAAACACTAACAGATTATTTTCACAAATAAAAGTGTTCAAACATATCATTTCTAACTGAGAGTGGTAGAAGATGGGAAGAGATAAGAAGATAAAGAACTATTTACTTTTTTTGATCAGTAAGAACTATTTACTTTTTTATTCTTTTGACTTCACCATTTACTTTTTCCCTGTTAATTACCATTTATATTTTTTTATATTTCATCCAATCATTTCTTAATGAGTTATAGTTTCTTTCTGTATATTATTGTATAGCACCTTTTCATTTATCTTCTCAATAAAATTGAGTCACCTATCAACAATAACAGTAGTAGTTATTGTCTCTATTTTGCATTCTTACTTCGTTACTATTGTCATCATTATTCTATTTATTGTTAATTTTTTTATTTCATCACTATTCACCCATCAACCATAAGAATGATAACAGACTGACAGTAGTAGTTATTATGGACAAATAGGGTTATCCATCAATTATCTCTCAATATATTAGTGACCAACTTTGGTTATTACTGAGATAGTGGTGAAGTGAGTAGGACAGTTAATGGCATGACACTAGAGGTCTCAAGGTAAGAGACTGCAATTCCCAATTCAGTGTAGCACTAGGTCTAGATGAAACTGTACAAAATTAATTTTAAAATCAACAGCAAATGGAGCATCACTCACCCATCAAGCATCCAATAACTCCGTCTCTGGAAGTTCTCATTATCCTCACCATGGGCATAGTAACAGTGAAGAACATCCACACTCCCAGCCTATTCAAACTAGATGAGAAAAATTAGGTAAAAGTATACATGAAATGGAACATAATATGCTAGAACAAAAGCATTAAGAACATAAACTCTCTCAAACTTCCAGACTGGATAAGAAAAACTAGGTATAAAGGAAATGCAACAAAATATGCCAGAACCAATCTAATATAGAGAAAAAAGTGTTGAAGTTGGACCCATAGATCTTTAAGAACTATGGAAAATTGAAATAGACAAGCCCATATTGATGGGAAAATGGGAAGCTATGATACCTAGATACCTGTAGTCTGTAGAAGGGTCAAGCTTTTGTTAAATTTTGAATGGGCCCGCACAAGGGCCAGGCCCTGATGCAATGCAAAATTTTCAACTTGGGTATACAAGTTACACCCCTACAGCCATGTCCTAGCAATATCTGGGAACATGGATGGGAAGTACTAGATGGATGAGAAGGAAAGAGAGAGGGGAATAGAACATTCAAAGTGCATGATATGGAACCTAATGTAGCATAAACAGAAGGGTTATATAAGTAGAGATGATAGCTTATACAAGTAGAAATGAACTAGGAAATCAATATTATAAAAGGACAGTATTTCAATAAGATGTTCAAATTTACTCTGTCAAACAAACTAGAAAATCAATATTATAAAAGGACAGAATTCTGACATACTTCATACACCTAATAACAAAACACAATAATCTTCGATATCTTCTCACACACAAATAGTATCAATCACGCGGTGTATTCAGTAGCAACTGCAATATGCAGTCCACCAAAAAGTTCTGAACTTAAAGTAATAGAAAAGCAACACACCTTCAATTTTTCATGAGCTTCACGTACAGTCTTTCCATCTTTCTTCTTTCTCCAGTTGTGGCCATCCTTGCGGAAATACCGAAGTGCTTTTCGATCAAACAAGAACAAGGAACCACCTAATATAAAAACGAATAACATTCACCAACTGCTTTTTATATACCAGGATGTTAGGTCAACAACCTACCCAACAAATAATACTCAGTTCAGAAGTTTAGCAGTGCCAAACACCATGCATTTTTCAGATCAAGTACATGCCAACGCTCTTTTTTAAACAAAAAAAAAAACATCTCACTTTCAGTTTTTTATTGATATTACTTATATAGTAACACACCATATATTTAGTTTTTGAGGCAGATCAGTCTATTCTAAATCCTCTACATATAGCACATTAGATGAGCTGAATTATTTCAGGAACATGTAAAATAAGACATGAACTGAATAGAAATATCTGTATTTCAGGTTTTCAAAGTGTCATGCCAACATATTATCAGTAAAGAAAAGGAATTTGGCATTAGGGGCTCCACGAGCTATGGGGTAACAACAAATAGGATAGCTCAATTGTGAATACAGTGCTATACAATAACTACTTCCTATTGTGAACCAATGTTTTTAAAACCAACCCAATAATAGAACTGCTTTTCCATCCAGGTAGCAGGTCAGTGGTTGAGCCATCCAAGAAAAACCATGATGTCATAATAATAATAATAATAATAATAATAATAATAATAATTAAATAATAAAAATACAAACATATAAAATTATTCTTTTGGCAAGTACTAAATATATAAAATTATAGAGAAGTTGCAGAAAAAATTATGTCATCATCATCATCATCATCATTGAAGCCTTATCCCAACTATATGGGGCCAGCTACATGAATCCTATTTCGCTATTCCATTCTGTTTAATGTCACATCTGTTGTTCAATTACTGGCACTTAAATCATTTCTTTTTTTTTATCAGCAATAAAGATTGATTCATTAATTAAAAAAATATGGGATTAAGTGCAACCTGATGGCCTTAATGTCATCCCCAAGAAGTACAACCAGCATTTATATCCTTTGCTAATCTTTCTGCTTCCCTGAAGATATGTTTAAGGGTCCATGGAATGTCTGTTACATCTTGTCCAAGATAATAACTACTTTGAATCCCCTTCCACTTCCACCTGTCAAAAACCCAATTGCTTTGCCAACTGGAGCCCCTGCAGTAAAGCCAGTAGGTCTGCCTTGTTGAATTTGCAAAGCCAATTGGTCCTGAATATGAGCCAATATCTTATATTCAAAATTCCTGATAGCTCCACCTATTCATGCAAATCCCAGGTTGCCCATAAAGCTTCCATCCAAACTCACTTTTACTTTGCTAACCTCTGACAGTTTCCACTCAACTCTTAGAATTTCCTTTTCTCTAGAGGACTGCGCTATTTCCTTCCATGCCCTTAGGATGTCGGTTACTGAGAAAAGTTGAAAACTGTTTAAGGTTTTTATCCACAAGGCAACTCTCACTTTTATGCTGTCCATTACCTCTTCCAAAGTTCTACTTTTCCAGCAAAAATTCTGTTATTCCTTTCCTCCCACACTCCTCAAGCAACACACTTAAATCATTTAAATCATTTCTTACTATTTCTACCCATCTCCTTTTTGGTCTATGCCTAGCCACTTCAATTTGCAACAAATCACTTCTTATGAGTCATCGAGCCTTCATTGAGATTCTCACTGAGGTTGCTGCAAAGGAGCGCATGGAGTTTGAGAAGTTGGTTCCTAAGCTTGAAGTTCCTGCAGCTTCTAGGGAGACGGGGAGGCTGATTGAACTTGAAGAGGTAAGTTGTGTTCCCTTTTGTCCTGAGTTTGTCTTGGCTAAAAAAAGGAAGGAGTCATAGGGAAGTATTGGTAAGGAGAGAGGGGTGGGGGTAAAAAGGTAGAGTTTGGAGGAAGCGAAGGGAGTGGTAGGGCAGATAAGGATTTTAACAAAAGGAGGAGGGTTTTAACAGCCTGTTCTTCTGGGAGGAGAAGGGTTTTCCAGGAAGGCATTTGAGCATTTCAAGAAGAGGAGAAGAGAGGAGAGAGATCAGAAAAGTTGGTGGAGGGAGGTGAATTCAGGACGGAGGGGAGTTTTAGGAGGAAACATTCGAAGGGGAAGACAGACGAGGAGGGGTGTGGAAGAGGTAATAGAAAAAGGGAAGTAGAAAAAGAAGAAGAACAAAAACAACAAAAGGAGGGGATAAAAATACTTACCTGGAATATCAGAGGTTTAAAGGAAATTAGAAAGCAGGTGGTGCCTAGAAACTTGATCAGAAGTATAAGCCAGAGGTGGTGATGCTTCAAGCATCAAAGCTGGAATGAGTGGATGTGAGATATAATTCTGAATTTGGGGCCTGAGTTGTAAGGTTTGGGTGGTACTGAATGAAGTAGTATTTCTGAAGGAAGTGACAATTTGGGACCCTTGTGTTCTCTCAAAAGTAGGACAGAAGGTGGGGACAATGGAAGATTAAGAAGACTGTGGCAACCATCAGAACATCTGTTGCAGATTGGGTGTCATCTTAACTAAATTGGATCACGTTCGTCGATCAGAGCTAAGGGTTGACTTTTGGAATGTTTTGAACTAAAAAATTGTAATTTTGGAATTTTTTGTAATCTATCTGCCTATGCCTCGGTGTTCCCTCAACACCAGAGTGATTTTTTTTTTGATCGATAACAGAAATCTTTATTAACGAATAATACTTGTGAAAATTAATTACAGAAAATGGGGAGGTAAAAATGTGCCCAAAACAAAGAATCCTTAGCCACCCCTTGCTTAGCTAACCCATCAGCCATTGAGTTAGCACTTCTCTTCACCCAGCTGTATTGCACCTCTAAGTCCTTACACAGCCAATTAAATTTTTTCTTCTCATTGCTGTAGCTCCACAAGCCACTGATATCTCCTTTCAGCCACCTAATCACCACTTTCGAGTCCCCCTCAATCACTAAGCATCTGATGCTTAATTCTCTTGCTCTTTGGATTCCTTCAAGAACTGCTAGAATTTCGGCCCTAAGAGAGTCACCCTCTCCAATTGGCCCAGAGAACATGGCAGTAATATACCCCTCCTCATTCCTGAAAACACCCCCTATCCCAGAAGGCCCCGGATTCCTTAAGCTACATCCATCAAAATTCAGTTTTATGAATCCGGCGGGAGGGGGGGTCCAAGTGGGACTACAGTTCCTTTTATACATGGCAGCAGTAGCAACATCTTTCCACATTCTCAGCAAGTCTGCCATAGAGAATTCAGAGAATATCTCCATTGGTTTCAGCCAATGAGCAACCCTTGAAAGTATCAAATCTGTTAGGTTTTCTGTGGTTCTTTCATTATCTGAAAAAAATCGTGAATTTCTTTCTTCCCATATTGACCAGCACATTGCAGCCCTAATGCTTCTCCACATAATCTTCCCCCTTTTCTTAGGTCAACTAAAGAAAGAAGGAGAGAACAAGCATTGCACACTCACGAGGGGATTCCAAGTATACCCAAAAAGGGAAAACACCCACTCCCAAACAGTCTTAGTAATTGGATAAGTAACCATAATATGATAACCCGTTTCCCCATCATCTTTGCAAAGAATACACCTATTGGGAAGTAAACAACAGTTGGGCCTCTTTCTTTGAAGCAAACCGTTTGTGTTAACTCTTTCCAGGAAAATTTCCCAACAAAAACTACCAACCCGAGGAGGAATGAATTTGCTCTAAATCTCTTTAACAGGGAATGAAAGCCCAAGCGGAGTAGTAGGTTGGACTAATGTCTCAAAAAATGAAGCACAAGAGAAAGAGCCGGATGAAGAAGGGGTCCATATTCAACACCAAAGTGATTGTAATCATCTTTTTACTTTTAATGAATCTTTTCTTTTACTATTTCAAAAAAACTGGTGGTCTTCACATGCACGTGACCAGACCATTTATGTCTACTTTCTCTCATTTTATCACCTATTGGAGCTATTCCTAGGTTCCTTCAAATGATTTCATTTCTTATCCTTTTTGGTAATAAAATAAAATTCATTAAATATAAAAGAAATTACAAGAAAGGTGACCAGAAGTCATCCAAGAGAAGAAAGGGGAAAAAAACCTATACCCACCACAACCAATTAACCAAACACCAAATTGAGAACAAACTACCCAACCAAACTGCCCACCCTCTCCACAAAGACAAACAATCAAACATCAAAGGAAAAAAAAAAAAAAAAAAAAAAAAAAAAAAAAAAGACTTCAAACCCATTGACGAACACCAAAACCCAACATCAAAGGGAAAAAAATCCAGCAAGACTCCTCCTAATCTTAATCAACTACTCATCAACTCCAATAGCTTGATCGAGACCCACTTTGCTCCTCGTGCAGACTTTATTTTGTTCAATACTCCACTTGCAAACTTTCTTAGCCTTCTTCACTTTCTTGCTAGGCCCAAAACCAAATAATCTCCCTTTTAATCTTGCAAAAACTTTCAAAACTTGGTCAATTCGATGCTATTTCCTTTAAAATTGTTTAATTGCATTAGGAATATTCTCAATAACCTAAGAGTCCCCAGGCTTGGCAACGATCCTTTTTAACCCCAAAACTGCATTCTTCTTAAGCATTTGTTCTGCACCTGCCTCACCATCCTCTTTAATGACATCTCCAATCAGTCTAAGGCCACTCACACAACCTTAAGAGAACTTTTCCATTATTTGTCATATTTTTCTCCCTTGCAAACCTTTCCTCCAATTGCTCTTCCAAATACATGAGTTTCATCAATAACAACATCTTCCTCATTTGAACCCATTTCTTCACTAATTTCAGCTTCAACCTCAACACCATCCTATAACAGCTCAATTCTATAGAACTTTCATCACCTTCACCCTCTAAACACCCTACCCCCAGATCTCTGCCATCACCAATCTCTGATTTAATCACCCCTAATAAACCAAAACCTTTTCAATTTTAACCCTTTCACCTTCCTCACTTGAAACCTAAAGATCCCCATCCTCCAAACACCCTAGCCTTACTTCTCCATCTCTACAACCATACCCTCCTTTTCTAATTCAACCCGCATCCTTGCATTTATAGCGCCCACCCTATCACCACTCCCCTCCTCTTTGCGTTGTTCTCTAATGTTTTCCCCT